CCCCCGCCCCTATCCCACCATTACCAGTCCTAGTCTTGTGCACGGGTGTGACCGTGCGTGTGAGTGTGTGTCTATTTCCCTGCGCGTGGCTGTTGACATTTTCCCTGCATTCCCCTGAGAGAGGAGACAGAGGAAGAGCGAAAAGTGTTCCCACGTTCTCTCCGGAGATCTCAGATCTGCCATGTTTGCTCCACTTTTTCCTTTTTCTTTAACACTTCTTCAAAAAAGGTCTCTCTTTTCTCCGCACCCTTTTGCCTTTTCATCTTCTTCCTCATGTCACATTGTGTGCGCTGAAGCTGATCAATACCCTCTTTTTGTGAGATGCTGGGAGCTGTCTAAGTGCTCCCCTCTGCATCTAAGCTCTGCACTCTGCTGTGAATTAGGAAACTCTTGCAGGGATGTGTAATAAGGTGGAGGGATTCAGCATTGGAGTGATAGCCAATGTCATATCTGTTCGCCTCTAGACCTCAGGAAACTCTGTAGGAAAAAACAACATATTAAAATGATCATATTTCTATTCTGCTTCTTGTTGTTGTTGTTGTTGGCCAAAGTAAGTGCCCTCACCTTTTCTTCCCATTTTGTGTCTTTTATGCACAGATGCAGTCATGGTTGGGAACCTTCAACCCGGAGAGAGAGAGACGAAAGGTAAAGCTTTGTCCCATTGTCAGATGTATCAACACACACTCAAGGCATGCACACGCATACACACGAGCGTGAGGATTAGTGTGTGTGTGGGATTAGCTTTTATGCTCGCACGCTGTTAGGTGTCAAACAGCGGGGAGCAATCTGACCTTGTGATACCTACGCTTCCCACTGTGTGTGTGTGTGCCTGTGCATGTTTATTTAAATGTGGGTGCGTGAGTATGCGTACGTGTTTAAATTTTGGAGCTTGTCTGTTTTGCTCCTGACCTTACTGAAACACAAGGGAACTAAAAAAGTTACCGGCCAAATATATGAATACCTAAAGAAGTCAGATTGAGTAACAGGACATGAGGAAAGAAATAATCGGAAAACAGAAAAAGTTGTGAAAGGATTAAAAATGGACGCCTGAGAGAGAACTTCCTCACCTCCACACAGCTGGCTTATCATGGTGTGAATGTTAAACTTTCAGAAAGTTCTAGAAATTGTCAGACGCCATTGTGACAAAGAGTGCTGGCAGCTAAAGGTCAGGGAGACTCAGTGTGTCAACACGGGTCAGAGAGGGTCTAACAAAAATATGTTATGGGTCGCATTTGGTAAATGTAGGTTACAGAGGGTTTGACCCGTACTTTGGACTAAATGTCAAGTTCTCTCGGCCTCTGCTGTTTGAAATGTGTCTCACATAGGTCCGTACACTTTATGGAAGCGCAGTACTAAATAGCTGGAAAACATGTTTAAATAAATAATCCAATTCTTTCTGGTTCTGGAAAGTATTTCCTCTTTAAGTCTTTATCTGGCTATTCTACAGACATCTTGTTCAAGTGTCCTCCAGAAAGACACCTCACCCTTACCCGCCCACGCATGGTGCATGAATATGGAGACGACCAATAATTAAAATGTAAAGCGCTGCAATCCACCGAGCACCCTCCACAGAGGTGATCAGAGTCACAGCCTTACTGAGGAACAGTTGAAAAGGTGCAGTCTTGCTTTAGGTTACCTCACCCCTCCTTCCCTTGCTCTAGTGTTACACCTCCACCCCGCAGGGAGAGGTGTGTGTTTGGGAGGGGGGGGGGGCAGGTTAGGGTTAGGGTTAAGGTTATGTAGATGCTGCCCCTAAGTGGCAGATGTAATTACTGCACACTGAACTGGCGTAGCCCTCACAAGTGACGTGTGTGTGCATGAATGTGTGTCAGCAACATTCACACACCCACTCTCTGCTCATGTGGGCTAATTGCTATGTGTTGCACAGAGTGTAAATAAGTCAGCAGTGGTTTCTATCACACTCTCCGTTTCCTCGTATATCTCTTTCCCAGTAGCTCACCTTGTTTTCCTCTGTTTTCCTCCCTGCCTTTTTGCTTTGTGCTCTCTTTCTTTCCCCCCCTCTCTTTCATTTTCCCTCTCTTCCTCCCTCCCTCCATCTCTCTCACTCTTGTACTCATACCCAGCATGAATAAAGCAGCAGGCCAGGTTCATGGGCATGAATATTTATGAGAGTTTATGCACGCGCTGCGATGCTTTAAAACAACAACAACAGCCTCCCCGATTGTGCTTGCCAAGCCAGCGAGCCCTGGCTCGTGTGTGTGTGTGTGTGTGTGTGTGTGTGTGTGTGTGTGTGTGTGTGTGTGTGTGTGTGTGTGTGTGTGTGTCCCCGGAGTAATGACGTCCATAACTTGTGTTGGCAGTTATCAGGTCCGTCAGTCACATGATTGTGACACATCTCTGTGTGTCCCGGGCAATTTGTTTGCGGTCATGCATGACAACACAAACACACACCATGAGGTCTTGCAGCAGCGCAGGTCAGCGAGGGGGATATTCAGGAGAGGGTGTTTAAGTCAGGCCGCACACACACCTTTAAAGACATTTGCACAACTGCTCACACAGCAGCTCAGTCCCGTCGGGTAGCAACAAAGAGTAAACAGCGAGCTGCTTGTTCGTTATCTTCCCAGGGTGTTTGTTTACTGATCCACACAAGCTTTGCCTTGAGTCACAATGCGAGGTGTCTACTTGTGTGTGTGTGTGTGTGTGTGTGTGTGTGTGTGTGTGTGTGTGTGTGTGTGTGTGTGTGTGTGTGTGTGTGTGTGTGTGTGTGTTTAGCAGCAGGTGTAAACTAGAGAAAGCGATTCCTGCTGGGTTTCTGAAGACCGCTGGCTCTGGTTATTTCTATTCACTTCGCCACATCTCCCTCCTTCTGCGCCTCACATGTTCTCTGTTACTGTACACATGGATGCCGGACACACACACACACACACACACACACACATATCTACGCTTCTCATGTTTTGTGTGGTCACACATGTGGTTTTCTGCGTACGCCATTCTCGATCCTGTTTTTATCTCTCTCTCTGACTCAGCCCGGCACCATCCCCCTCGTGTGTGTGTGTGTGTGTGTGTGTGTGTGTGTGTGTGTGTGTGTGTGTGTGTAGCCTTGATTCTTGGTGAGTGCTGCCTCTGCATGTGTGTGTCATTAATGTGCCAGATTTCACTTTTTATATGTCACCAACATCCTGAAGTACTTCTTTACTCTGAGTAAGCTGCAAGGACAGTTGGGTTTGTCTCCTAAGGGCTCTCCAAAACGACATGTGGCTTTGACAAAACACATACAACTCCTTTTGTAGAGATCCACTTCCCAGCTGTCAGGTATGTGTTGTTTGGAGTCCTCAGCAGTACTTCTGGTTGCTTGACAGGTTGCTTTTGGGTTTTAACCGTCCCTGAAAATCGATTTTTAGAAAAAGAAATTGTGTATTTAAGGTATTTTAAGAAAGGATTATGGAAAATAATTCAAATAGGGCATTTTAGTTCCAGCCAGAACAATCTCGCCAATTATGCCATTTTATAGCTTTCAATTTGACCAAAGCTCATCCCTGAGTTTGCTTAGCTGTCTAAAGGACTTCTTGTCCATGTTGGCTTAAAAATGGATATTGGAGAAAAAGAAAACTGCTCAGCTTGTATTAGACGTAGAAAACATTTAATGAAGGCAAGATAAGATGAGATGAGATGGTACTTTATTGATCCCAATTTGGGAAATTGAACAGGAGGATGCTTTTTTCATTAAGTTTAAAAATTGAGATAGAGGGGGGTGCCTGCAGCACACCAGGCAGAGCGAATGCATGCTTAGAATGAGTCATTAATGCAGACCACTACCCCTTTTATTTATTTGTTTGCTGCATGTTCTCCCCTCTCTTCCCTGGTTTTCTGCCTATCTCCAGCTTTGCAATCAATAAAGGCAAAAATGCAAAGACAATACAAAAAAAGAAAACATTTTTAAAGCTCGATACAGCAGTTGTCAAAACAATTATATGAACGCATATAATTACTTATTTCTCAAAATACAATTTACCAATATACTCTTAATCTCTTTCCTAAACGACTTCATTCATTACATCCTCCGTATGGGTAGAATTGTAAAGCCTCTTTTTGGTCAAATTGGTCATTTAAAAAATGTTTCTGTATAAATCCAAATGAACCATGAGAAAACCCCTTATGATGATCACTGGTCTGTCATTTTCACTCAAAGAATACGTAGTTTGAAAAGTCCTTGAATTTGACGATGAAACCTGATGCTGTTATTCTTAGAGTATCTTTCCTCCGCGAGTGAGGGTGAGTAGTACAGTGGGTGGTAAAGGGGATGGGTTGCTCCCGATAACCGTCTGTAATCTAGCTTGCGTCATTAACGTTGGGACCGCAGTGCCCGCCGCACATAATTACGGTTTCATTCCCCTCTGCTTCCCGAGCAGCGCCGGGGCCTCTGACACGGGAGGACTGTGATTAAAAACACCAGGCTCTTTAGCCGCGCTCCTCCTCCTCCTCCTCCTCCTCCTTTTCCACATCCTGTCTCTTGGGCATTGAAATTCCTCAAATGCCTGCCTCTACACCTCACCGAACTTTCATCTGAGATACTGGTTCCATGCATTCTCTAAAACACAATTTCTGCAGTGGCTCACACACCCACAAATCTCCTTTTCCACTTAGCATCCTTCAGGCTCGCGGCTTGCCCTTTTCCTCTGTTCCAATGACACAATCATCCCCCACACACACACACACACACACACACACACACACACACACACACACACACACACACACACACACACACACACACACACACACACACACACACTTAAGATGACAATAGGCAGAGCTCAACATGTCCGGTGATGTCAGAGCTCCCCATCATGATAAACATTAATAGGGCTAAGCCTAATGCTTCCCTTTGGGTTTATGCTGTAACCGGCTGTGATGTGGAAACACGACCGAGTTCTGTTCACATACAGCCAGGGTACGTTACACGGTGAAAATGTGGCTCTTATTGTCAACATATTCAACGTGCGTGCACACATACACACACACAAATGAAGAAATACCTCCGGGGAGCTCTCGTGATTTTCATTTGAATTGTTTAAAAGGCCTGCGTTAGAGCTTGCACGCCTCGGGGTCTTTCTGGTGAGTAATTAATTTCCAGCATGTGGGGGTAGAGACCAGAGCTCGTGGGCCTGCCTCCTGGCCTCCACTTTATGTGTTAGAGCGAGAGAGAGAGAGAGAGAAAGAGAGGGAGGGAGGGAGGCTTTGCGCTGCTCCTGCGCTCTAGCCTAGGGGGGGAGGAGGAGGAGGAGGGGTGGAAAAACAGCACAGCACGGAAAATCGATCCAGGGGCCGCGCTTCTCAGCCTCTTCCGGGCGCAAGAGTCCTCCTCCCCGGGGAATTAGATAACGGCTTGTAAAAGCACTCCCCCTCCTCGGCTTAGAGCTGCTGCTGCTGCCGCATCTCTCCGTCTTCCTGCCCGCTCGTCCACCAGATATTGAATCCATCCCCCCCCCTTCACATTACGGCATTAGTATTGGCTACCAGTTTAATTGGAATCCCCGTTTCTCCTCATAACTGTGTGGATATTGCGTATTATCAGCAGGTTAATATTTTATTAGGGTTTAATTGGCCTTTGTTGTTTGCCTCAGTGCACCGATCTTCCAGTTAAGTCCCTGTGTGTGTGTGTGTGTGTGTGTGTGTGTGTGTGTGTGTGTGTGTGTGTGTGTGTGTGTGTGTGTGTGTGTGTGAGAGAGAGGTGTGTGTGTGTGTGTGTGTGTGTGTGTGTGTGTGTGTGTGTGTGTGTGTGTGTGTGTGTGTGTGTGTGTGTGTGTGTGTGTGTGTGTGTGTGTGTGTGTGGGGAGAGACACAAGGGTGTTGATGTGAGTATCACGTTTCTCAGCAGTCACTTTTCTCTCCTCCAGGTTTCCTTGGCCGAGGAGATCAAACCGTTGAAGTGGTATCCCTCCGTTTACCTGGTGGTGTCCATCTTCCCCCTCATCAACAGGTAACACGCACACACACACACACACACACACACAACACCTATACAGCACATAAACTCGGCACTCCGTTGTTTTATTGGCATGTTGGCTTCACTATGCAGCTTATCTCTTCTCAACCCGTCACCCCTCCCTACCTCACCCGCCTTCCCTCTCTTACTCCCTCTTATCTGAACTCTCAGAAAGCCTCTCTTTCTATAGCAGCACGAGGAGATTGTGCGTGTTCGAGGCACAGAGCATTTTATTGACTTTTTTTTAAAACCAGGGCTTCATCGGCTGAGGGAAGCGAGCGGTCCAGTAAATGATAACCTCGGTGCTGTTATTACTCTT